ATTCAGGAAAGCACTACCTGACTGAGTAGTCACTCACATCAAAACAAAAGAGTGAGGACATGCTAACATTACAGCAAGCATCACCCAACCTTCTCATTGGAATAACACTCATCTGTCAGTCGAGGTCAGTCGAGGGCAAGCATAGGGTGGCTATAAATTCACCTGTTTGGCAAAAAAGATCTTTCAAAGGGAGTCAATGGGCTGTGTATCTACATGTATATACCCGTGTGTGTGTGTGTGTGTGTGTCTGTGTGTGTGTGTCTGTGTGTGTACATATGAACATACTCCCTCCTCCTCCTCTGTTTTGTTGATAAACATGTGGCTGGATGCTTCCTTTTCCCATTTTCTCACTTTCCTGCTCTCCCCATGGGTAGCCCCTCTGGTGCCACAGGCGACCCCACCCTCTCTGCAGGCTGCCCTCAGCCCTGAGCGGTCACGTGGATGTTTGCCACCCCCCAGACCACGCAGCTCCCACCAGTGCAGAAAGGTGGGGCCCTGGAGCTCAGGAGGGCCTGGTTTGGGTGCCCCCTCAGCAACAGGACCCTTGGCACTGCCCCGGGGGAACCACCCCCTGGGTTGGGTGGTATGTGAGTGAGACTTCAGAGTTGGGAGCAGCTGGGGGAGTGAGGGATAGGACACGGGGAAGGGAGGGCGATGCCCAGCATGGTCTGGGGGAAGTGGACAGAGGGGATGAGAGGAGGAGCACAGAGGCTTTGGTGGGGGAGGAGGGTGAACGGTGTGCTGAGCATTGTGGGGTGGAGGTGTCTTTGGGACCTCCAAGCTGGGAACAGATCTGGGGGTTCCCAGGAGAGGTCTGGGCTAGCGGTGCTGGGAGCTTTCTGGGAAGATGGCAGTGAGAGCTGTGGGTACGACCAGCTTGTCTGGGGCTGGAGGCAGGTGAGAGCGGGTGGGGTGCACCCCGAAGTGAGTCACATGGAACACATAGTCCGCAGAAGGACGGCGTAGCTAGTGTGGAGGCTGAGGGAGGGAGGTTCACAAAGGAAGGTCAGCGGGGTGGATGCCAGAGGTGCCAGGGGGCTGAGAAGTTGTGGGAGGCAGGCAGACCAGTTGGCCAGGCGCTGCCAAGACCCAGGATCAGGGGTGTCCGGGGGACCTGGGATGAGAACAGTCAGCTAAGAGGGGCGGGCACATTCCAGATCCATTCCAGACCCAGCTTCAGGGGAGCGACCACCTGTGGGAAGTGGAGAGAGGAGGGGTCCAGCCCCCACCCCAGGCTTTGGCTTCTGTGATTGACAGCTGGTGGCCTTGGATAAGCAGGGTGCCCAGAGGAGCCAGGGACAGTGGGGACGCCTGCAGCCCGGGCAGGGGTCTCGGGCAGCGACCTCAGGCCGGAAGCTCAGGAGCGGTCAGTGCTGGGGAGCAGGTGGCTCAGCCCTGCAGAGGGGCAGGGAGGGGGCAGCCTCCACGGTGGTACCCGGGAGCGAGCACACAGGGAGCTTCAATGAGTGTTTGTGGAAGGGATGGGTGGGGGGTGAACCAGCGACCGGCCAGTGTGCGCCCTGAAGAGCTGTCCCAGGCGGGAGAGAATCAGGGGACAGAGGCTGAGAGCTCCCAGGGGTGACTGGGCAGGGTCAGACCCTGCAACAGCCAATGGCGCAGGGGAGGCGGCCTGCAGGGGTCCACACGCTCAGTTTGGCTCCCAGCTTTGGGGAGGGCAGCTCGCGGAGGGGGCGGCTCCCCCAGGGGCAGGGCCTCGGAAAGAAGGGGAAAGGAGGCCACAGGAGGCACCTTACAGAAGAGGCTGGTGAGGGAGGAAGGACACGCAGGCGGCAGCCAGACGGGCCGCCATGAGGTCAGGTCAGGGGGATCTTCACCTGCCGTCCTCCTCCCTCTTCGGCCTCTTCCTAGTTGAGTGGCCTTGGAAAACCCAAGGATCATTTTAAGCTCATCCCAGGAGAGCACCTTAGTAAACACGAAACCATGTGTCAGGAAACCGGCCCAATACACACTACAGGTGAGACCCCAGGAGAAAGATTGATGCCAATTGATGTCAATATAGGCTGTCCCCCCAAAACAGGTACAAAGAGGTCAGACACGTGATGCAAAATGACACCGACGGAATGTAAATATAAGGTGTCCCCCCAAAATGGCCTAGAGAGGTCAGGCTGCTGATGGACAATGAGTCCCCATTGAATGTGATATAAATCCCAAATCAAAATGGGATTCCACTTAGAGGGACTTAAAATACACCAAGGCCAGGGAAGACCGGCTGTCTGGGAAACAGGAAACCTGGCTTCCCCTTCTCTGGCCTCCTGGCCGAGGGGGGGTCTGGATTCCAGGGGCCCAGGACCCGGGGGGCAGACGCGGAGAGCCCGGAGCCCGGACATCGCTGCCAGTGATGAGCGCTGAGGAAATCCAGGACTCAATTCTACTCCAACTCATTTTATTACAAACCCATCCTTGTGTTCCAGACTCAATAGGTATTTCAAATATATATATATAAATACTTGGAGACAGGACACATTAGCACACGCAGCACATTAATTCCAAAGGAAAACCTCTTTATAGAACCCCATCCCCAGGCTAAGCCCATCCCAGGAGAGCACCTTAGTAAACAGGAAAGGATGTGTCAGGAAACTGGCCAAATATACACTATGAGACCACAGGAGAAAGATTGATGCCAATTGATGTCAATATAGGCTGTTCCCCCAGCAAAGGTATAGCGAGGTCAGGCTATGATGGACAATGAGTCTCCATTGAATGTAAATACAGGCTGTCCCCCAAAACAGGTACAATGACGTAAGACTGATGTTGTAAAATACACCAACAGAATGTAAATATAAGGTGTCCCCCCAAAAAGGTATAGAGGTGAGGATGCTGATGGACAATGAGTCCCCATGGAATGTCAATACAGGCTGTCCCCCAAAACAGGTACAATGACCTAAGACAGGTGATGTAAAATGACACCAACAGAATGTAAATATAAGGTGTCCCCCCAAAAAGATATAGAGGTCAGGATGCTGATGGACATTGAGTCTCCATGGAATGTCAATACAGGCTGTCCCCCAAAACAGATACAGACAGGTCGGATGTGATGGAAAATGATACCAACAGAATGTAAATATAAAGTGTCCCCACAAAACAGGTACAAAGCTATTAGACCTGTGATGGAAAATTGTCTCCATTGAATGTACATGTAGTATCCCCCAAAAATGTAGACACATTAACAGCTGATAACGCACTTAATTTTCACTTCTTTTCAGGTTGAACAGATTTGAAGAAATGGGTGAAGACTGTAAGATTTGAACGAAGAACACGTCTCCACGAGGCTTTTTATGGGGACACAAAAAAGTCAAAGTTGAGGCGCCCAAAGCCCAGCAGTCAAGGAATCGAGGGCAGCTATTGAGAGAGATGCGCACAGACACCGAACCGAAGGAACGATTCTTGATGTTTGCGACTCCGGGGCTGCGTTCGTTCTGGTCCAGGCGCTGCTGCTGCTGAAGCAATGGAACCGCAAACACCCAGAATCGCTGCGTTCGGTGTTTCTGCGCATCCTCTGTCCACAGCGGCCCTGGATGCCTGGACTGGGGCCCGTTCGGGACCAGACACTTCATCCTGTATGTGTCCCCATAACAAAGTCCAGAGGATACAGCTTCTTGGTTCAAAGCTTAGTCTGGCTTCACCCATTACGTCAAATCCGCTAACCCTGAAAAGGAGCGAAAACTGAGTTATCAGCTGTTACAGTGCGTGTACATTTGGGGGGACAGCCTGTGGTACATCCATTTGGGGGACACCTCAAAACATCTATTTCATGAGTGCCTGCTCGGGTATGGAATATATGAAATTGGGTTTCTATCCCTGGATGTGATCCTGGATGGTGGACAGCGGGGGCTACAGCCGCGTTACCAATCAGGCTGCACCCGCCTCTCGCACACGCTCCCCTCTGCACACTGTGGCCCAGCTGGGAGGGGGCGGGCAGGGCTTCTCTCTGCGCCAGGCGCGGCAGAGCCCGTGATGGTAGAAAAGTAAACACGGGGGCAGGTCCGGGGGGCCCAGGAGCCAGCTGGAGAGAGGCACAGCCTGAGGCCACCTGCCTGGAAGGCCGCCGGGGCCTGGGCTCAGGAGTGTGGGGCCCAGGCCTGGCTCGGCAACGCTCTGGGTTAACAGTGAGCTCGACTCCAGGGTCCACCCAGGGCCGTGAGGTCTTGGTAGTCTGGCCGGTCTGGGCTTCTCCTGGGAGCACCAGGCTTCCGGAGATGGAGGCAAGTTTCCGACCACAGGGCCCAGCCCTGAGAGCGTGCTTGCATGTACCTGCTCCCCCACGCCCGCACACACATGGACGCTTTCATGGAGGTCAGGTTGCTGACACGTGTTCTAAGGGGCACACTGTCTGCCTCAGCTAGTGGGTTTCCTGCTGCACTGCGAGCACCACAGGCCAACATGGATTTGTTCCCAGGATACCAGTGGCTGGAGGGTCAGACCCGTGCAGCCATCGTGGGAGTGTGACAGCCTTGTCACTAACAGAACAAATGGGAGCAGTGGGGGGACCCTTCCTCGTTCCAAAGGTGCTCCCGGCCCCTCAGGCCGACGGGAGAGGGGCCCTGGTGGTCAGAAGGGGCGTCAGGAGTTCGAAGCCTCAGGAGCTGGGGGCCCAGGAGACGAGTCACCACGGCCACGCTCCCTCCTCTGACCTCCACCTGCTGGACCCAAGCAGCTGTGGCGACGCCCGCCTGCCCTCTAAGTTGTTCCCACGACCGATGTTCTCAGGGGCCCGTTGGCGTGGGAGCCACGTCGGGAGAGCTGCGCGGGCTCTTGGCAGGGCTCTCTGTGGTCTTGCCCTGAGCGTCCCGGGCTGAGGCCTCGTCCTGGCAGGGGCCACGGTGGCCACTTGCCCTGAGCGTCCCGGGCTGAGGCCTCGTCCTGGCAGCCGGGGCCATGGTGGGGCCATGGCGGAGGCTGCAGGGGAGCCAGCCTCTCCTGCTTTGGGGGAGCCAGTGAGAAGCGCCTCCTGTCCAGTGGAGCCAGCCTCTCCTGCTTTGGGGGAGCCAGTGAGAAGCGCCTCCTGTCCAGTGGTCAGAACTGGGGATCCAGGCCGTGAAGTAGCTGGGGCAGAGTGTGTGGCTGGCTGTTTCTCTGCCCCCTGAGTCCTCAGAACCCCGCCTTCAGGGAGACTCCTATTTGCCGGCCTGTGGCTTGTGAGTCCCAAGCAGCTGGGCTGAGGCCAGGCTGACCGCCCTGTTCAGGGACGTGCACCAGCGGGCAGCTGTGCGGGAGGTGGGGGGAGGGGGGAGGGCGGCCTGGCTCTGCCCAGAGAAAGGCTCCGGGGACTGGGGACTGCCTCAGGGCGCACTGGCTGGGCCTCGGGCTCAGCAGGTCTCAAGTTGGGCTTCACATACCGCCCCCCGCCTTCAGCAGCTTCCCCCGGGGGGCTGACAGTCCTCCTGCGGGCACAGACTGGAAGGCATCCTCCCTTTGCTCCTGGCAGGTGCGCCTGCCTGGCCCCCGCGGGTCAGGAGATGAAGGTGTTTCTGAGCAGGTGCCTTGGCAGGTCATCGGGCACCTGGGAGGGTCCTACAGAGAAGAGAGGAAGGACGGAGAGGCGGGAGTGAGGGCAGGAGGGTCCTCGGAGAGCCCTTCCCCCAGGGCGTCCCCCGCACAGGCCACATGGCCAGGACCAAAGTTTCTGCTCCTGCTCGGCCTGTTCACAACCTAGCGTCGGCCCAGCTCCCTCAGCGCCCTTGGCCAGGACGCCAGACCTGGGTGCGGGTCAGCAGAGTCATCTGAGTGGTCAAAGCTGCCTCCGTGGGGGGCCCCTCCCTTCAGTATCGGGTCCCCAGGGCTGGGGCAGAGGAGGACAGTGAGAAATGGGGCTACAACACCCCATGCCAAGGTGGGGCGACCACACCGAGGCCTAGCAGCAGAGGCAGCCAGGCCCAGGGAGCCCAGGGACAAAGGTGGGGCTGCACCTCACGGGCTGTGGTCTGAGTGGGAGGCCCTGGCAGCAGGCCTGAGCGGAGGCCTCCACTCTACCCATGGCTCACAGTGGGGGCCCTGAGCAGCTGGGAGATCTTGAGGGACCAACTCACGAGGCTCCACCAAATGCTGGCACAAGTCCAACACATGAACTCCTGGGCACACCCGCTGTGAGACACTGTGTCCTCAGATCCCTGATTTCAAAGCACCCTGGCCCGAGTCTGCCTCGGACCATGCGAGAACTGTGGTCCGCGCCCTGAGGGTCCAGGAGGGCACCCTTAGGATTTGAGAAACAAGTCCGTTGTCACCAAAACAACCGTCTGTTTAAGAAGTCCTCCTCTCTGCATGCTGACTTTGACTGCACCATGAGTTTACCTTGTATTTTGTGTTTTCTGCAATCTCTGAATTTTCTACCATGAACATACACTCTTGTCAAACCTAACAGAATCCTAATTAAAAAAAAAAACACATGAGGAAAACCCCTAAAAGACCTTCAACTACCTCATAGTAGGACAGGAGATGGGCTCTCCAATCCCAGTGGCACAGGCGTGCGGTGGAGCTTCGGGAGCACGAGCACAGGCTTTTTGCACAGCATCTGGCTCCAGGCAGCCCAGGGGCTGTGCGCCCGGAGCCACACCCACTGTCGGGATGGCGGGACCCTCCTCACTCTCCCAGGACCTGCCCCCCTGCCCCTCAGCCACTCAATGTCACACCCACCGTGATGTCTGAAGCACTGAAATCTTACCACTTGACATCAGGCATCCACTGGGTGACGTCACCATGAGGAGCAGAGCGGCGGAGATGGATAGACACAGCCAAGCCAGACAGACTTCGGGTTTCCAACTGGGCCCACGGAGATGGGTGGAGGGAGGACCAGGCTGTGGTAGCCCAGGAGTTAGAGCCGGTGCAAGAGTCCAAGTAGGGGACACATCAAGCCACTAAGGCAGTGCGATGGTGACTCCTTTGCTTTGGTGTGGCCTTGTTGTCATGGCGACTGAGGTTTCCATTAGGTTCAGGATTTTTCTTTTTCCAAGTGGACTGGTTTTCTTAGGGCTTTGTTGTTGTTGTTGTGGGAGTTATTTTTTTTCTTCTTCTTTTAAACATTTTTTTTAAATTTTCAGAAATAAAGGGTATATGATCAAGACAGGGATAAAGGGAAAGGATTATAAATCTTCGGGGTGGGGAAAAAAGGGAGAGGCTATTTAGGGAGGAGAGGGTGGGATGTGCCCAGATGTGCACGATTTGAGAATCTTAGACCAAGCGGAGCTGGCCACTGGAGGCTGGTCTTTGACTTTGTCCTGCTTCTTCCTGCTCCAAAAGGCACTCTTTCGTTGCCCCTTTGCTAAATTGTCATCCCGGGTAACCAAGGGAGGAAGCATAAAAACACAGAAAACAGCAAGTAAATGGATTGAATAATGGACAAATGATGCTACATTCGCCAAATGTACTTGGGAAATCAGAATCCTGTGCAGCCCGGGAGAGACGGCAACATTCCCCCCAGCACCACCAGCATCAGGGCCCGGTGAAGCCTTTCTGCTCTGACTCCAGTTAAGTGTTGGAGTGGCAGCTGGAGCCAGGGCTCTACGTGGCACCAGAGGAGCATTCTGTATTGCTCAAGGAGTTGACGCCTGAGACTGTTTTTCCACATCAATGGGTGAAATTATTAAGCAAGGGTGTTTATTGATGTAGGGTGCGGCTTTTCTTACTCATCCATTTTTTGGTCCAATGTGTTTTTATTGATTTTCAGAGAGAGGGAGGGAGAGGGAGATAGCAACATCAATGATGAGAAAGATGGATCGGCTGCCTTCTGCACGCCCCGTACTGGGGATGGAGCCCGCATCCCGGCATGTGTCCTGACCGGGAATCAGAAGGTCATCTCCTGGTTCATGGGACGATGCTCAACCAACTGAGCCACACCAGCTGCGCTGACTCATCCATTTTAATGACAGGCTCCCTGACATCCTGTCTCACACACAACTAACTCCGGCTCCTCTCCAAAACCCTTGGGACACTTAGTGGCATGTTTCTGGCCTGCTGCGTGCAGTGAAATAGTCCATCTCAGTCATAAGACTTCTTCTTAAAAAGTCCTTACCGGAGGATCTTTTTTCATTGGTCTTTAGAGAGAGAGTGAATGGGAGGATGTAGGGGAAGGGAGGGAGAGAGCGAGAGAGGGAAACATCAATTGTAGAGAGATACATCCACTGGTTGCCTCGCTCACAAACCCCAACCGGCCAGGATCAACCATGCAAACGAGGTATGTGCGCTTGCCTGGAAATCTAAGTTGCGCCCCCTCGGTCCTTCGATGCTATAACCACTGAGACGAACGGGCAGGGCTCACTAATCATTCTTGTACATCTCACAGCCTCTCATGGCAGGATGACTGTGCACACAATGAAAATACCTACCTCTATCTGATACCAAAACACCCTCATGCTCAAGCATTATTCCAGTTGAGATCCCGACGCATCCTCTCCTCTAGGTTTAGCCCTCACAACCTTTAAGTTCTAGTCTTATGAGAGCAGACAATTGGTCTAGTAACTTCCTCAACACGTCAATACATGAACAGAAAGGACTTCTCCAGTTCTGATGGAGGATTCAAGTGCACAGCTGCACCTCTGCTATTTCTTCCCCCACAGCGCCACCTGCTGACACAGCTCACACCACAGACAAGGGACCCACTCCTCAGTGCTGGGGCCCCAAGTTGGTTTAGCATCTTCAGGGACCCAAGCAGCTTGAAGGGCAGGCAGTGCTCACAGCGGTTAAGAGTTCGGGCCCATAACCTGTCAGACGCCGGTTCAGGTCCCAGCTCCAACGCTGATGCTCTGGGCCAGTGCTGACCCTGGTCAAGCCTCCCCTCCCAGCTCTGAACGGGGGACAGCAATGGAGCCCACCTCCCACGGCAGCTAGAACTCAAGGAGACGGACAAAGTGGGTCCAGAAAGAAGGCTGCTGAGCCCAGAAAGCCCCCTCGCACGGCTGCTGCTACTAACTGCAGCCCCTGACCTGCTCACTCACCGATCCAAACCACAGCGGGGATCTGTCAAGCAGTTTTTTCTCAGAATGATTACAGCTCATTCATCAACTTAGCCAATCACACAAGTGGACGTGATACATGTCAAAAAGTGTGAAACGAAAACACACACAACACACACACACACACACACACACACACACACCCCAACCTTACATCTCTGAAATCAGGGTGCACCTTGGAGCATCCCTCCCAGGCACTGTCGGCTGGTGGCGATTCTGACAAAACCGTCACCTCCACCACCCGGTCACTTTCTTTCTATGAGCACAAAATCGGGCAGCTTTCAGCTGACAGCCTCTTAGATCCCAGGAAACACATGCAGCACATGCAGCTACAAATCCACCAAAGGAACCTCTGGCTCACTCCCACCACAGCCCTCAGGGAGCAGGTCCAGCGCCCCCTGGTGGGAGGGCTCAGGGCCAGGTCAGGTGGGAGAAGAGAACCGCACCTGCTTTTCAGAGGGACAGACAGAGCAGAGCCCGAGCCTGGCTGAAGGCCTGGCAGATGTCCTGACGTGTTACATGGGGGCTGACCCTACAGAAATGGCTCATCCGAGGCCTGGCAGAGACAAGAAGCCCCAAACACATCCTCTCCTGAGCGTGTCTCTGCGGTAACTGTATGGAGATCCGCTCTGGATATTCGAGGACCCACCACAGTGTAGGTGATGGGGAGGCTTCTCATGCTGAAGGAACTAAATGGTTCTGGGAGGAAACTGCCACCACAGTGACGTGGGCTTACATGTTCTACTTGGGTGTTCACACACCTCGGGGGCAGGCGGGGGTGTGGGGAGCCCCTTCAGGCTCCAAGCACACGTGTGCGCACCCAGCTCCATCTCGTCGGTTCTGCCCTGACCTCGAGGGAGGCCTGAGATCCTCCCCTTCACTGCCCTCCTGCAGCCAGGCCAGCCCCTCCTACCTTTTGGTGGGGGCCCCCTGCGGGCGTCTCCCTCCTCCTCCCAGTATGAGCACGATGGCATGGCCTCCAGGGGCCCAGGAAGGCTGTCTGGGGGTGACTTGGCTTGTCCTCGTGAGCCGTCTCTCTGGCGTTGGAAGAACTTGAGGAAGGCTCTGGCTCGGCTCCAGCGCTTTTTCCTATTAGAAGTAGAGGGTTAGGACACTGCCAACCCCACTGCCCCTCCAGCCGGGGAAGCGGCCGTTAACTTGGGGTTCAGCACTGAATGTGTGTCGCCGGCACCACGATCCTCGCATGTGGCCTCAGGGCGAGGAGCACCATTTGCAGTTCATTCGCACAGACCCAGGGACCGGAGAAGCGTTCCTTGTGGCAGAAACCCGCACTAGCCTCTCGGGAAACAGAACCTCACATGCAGCCTCCACTCTGCATCACTGGGAGGCACAGGCAGAGGTGCTGTGCTCATCTAGGTGTGCTGGCAATTGTGCGTCCCAGGGCCCTGTCAGGGAGAGTCGGGACCTCCTCCTTTCTGCTGGAGCTCCCCATAGGTGAAACAGGCGGGCAGACTTGGCCCTTCCGGGCACTGAGGAATCTGGGTGAGGGGGTAACAGGGCGGGCCCGCTGGGCCATGTGGATGAAAAAGAGTGAACACTGGCCGGTGTGCCTCAGGAGTAAGAGCAGTGGCCCAAGCACGAAGGGTCAAGGGTTTGATTCTGGGTCAAGGGCAGGTACCTGGGTTGCAGTTTTATCCCTGGGCCCACTGGGGGCGTGTGCTGGATGGCAACCAATCAATGTGTCTCTCATATTGATGTCTCTCTCTCTTCCCCCCAACCCTTTGTTCCCCTCTACTCTCTCCAAAAATCAATGAAAAAAAAAACCCTCAGGTGAGGTTTAAGCAAAATTAAAATAGCCCCAGCAGGTTGGGCTCAGTGGATACAGCATCACTCTATGGACTGAAGGGTTCTGGGCTCCATTCTGGTCAAGGGAACATGTCCAGGTTGCAGAAACAATTCCCAGAAGAGGGCGTGCAGGAAGCAGCCAATTAATGATTCTCTTTCATCATTGATGTTTCTCTCTCCCTCAGCCTTCCTCTCTGAAATGAATATGTGTATATATATATATATATATGTATATATATATCGATGTATATGTGTGTGTGTGTGTGTGATAATAAAAATAAATAAATGAAAACAGTGAACTTGAAGGGTAATACAGTGCAGCTAACTGGAAATGGCGGCATTCTAATGTCACAAGAAGAACCGCAGCTGGTTCTAATCCTGGCTCTGCCACAGAGCAACACTGTGCTGACTCAACTCTTCTACTTTCTTCAGCGATGCCTCAATGTCCCCGCCGACACAAGGGACCGGCTGAGGGTGGGAAATTATGTGGTTTTGGATGAGAACAGAGAGCTCTTGCAGGATTCATGGTGATTTGCCCTCAAGGCTGGGCTGGGGCAGGACAATCTGAAGGCCCAGCTCCTGGGGCTCAGGCCCGGACGCAGGGGACGGCCTGCTGGACGGAAGCCGGCAGCCTCGGGGACCGAGCCGCCCACCCCCTGGGCTGCTGCTCTGCAGAAGGGAACGTGTTTGTGAACCACCCTGGGGTCCAGAGACTCCAGAGGAATGTAGGGAAGACCAAGAGGTTCCTGTGACCGAAGACCATGGGTGCTGGCCCAGGTGTCCGGCCCACGCTTCCTTCCCAAAACAGAAACATGGCGTTCTAGGCCCTGAAACCTGGAGACACAGCCTGAGAGTCCTGCTTCAGTGGCTCTAATCCAGGCGTCTGCCCTTCCAACAGGACATGGCAGCTGGCATTCGCCATCCCTCAGAGGATAACCCCGAGGAAGAACGGAAAGAAACTCTAAATTCTTTCAGAGCTGGGAGGGAGGTGCGCACAGGGGACCTGCCATAGAGGGGAAGGTGCGGGCCCCACACACTGGTCCTGCTCCAGATGGCTTTCCCCACTCGTGAAAGAGCAGCTTCCCGCTCTGTGTTGAAGTTCCTGCTGCTGAAATCAACTCACTTCCTAGGAGCAGGACACTGAGCCTCCTGTGACTCCCCAGTTCTGCCCTCTTCCGCCTTTCCGGTAGGCATAGTCTTCAGTGTGTCGCTGCAGATAGAGGAGAAAGAACAGTCTGGTTTTATATAAAACATGTGAACGGACTCCTCGGCCCCGGCTGGGACCTGGCCCAGAAGGGCCGGCATTTTCCTGGGTCTCGGACATCACGGAGCTCATGACCGTCAAGCTCGCCGAGTGGGGAAGATGGGGATGGGAGCTCATGGCGTGGGGCCGGGTAACCTAACACGTGAGGAGACCTGCTGAAGCACCAAGGATCAGGCTGTGCCTCCTCTCAGGAGAGCAAGCCCCCAACCATGTGGAATTCAGGATGGCAAACGGGTGGGCCTTGATGGCAGAGACCCTGGTTTCCTTGCTTGAAAATGAGTCCCCTGGATCGAGGCAGCAGCTCAGGCTCCTTTGGCCATGAGGCTGCCGAGGTCCCACCTAATATGCGGGCTTTTCTGAGAGTTCACCGTGAAGGGAGCAGCCGTGAAAAGCGATGACTCGCAAACCCCTGGGCCCAGGACCACCAACCCTGTTCTGTTCCCAGAGCCCTTGGCTCGGCATCTGTTCTTCTAGTCTGTGTTCCTCTCTTCCCTCAGCTGTGCTGCTGGGCCTTATGCTAGAGCGCTTTCCTGTCTGGCACTGACCGACCCCCACCACTAGGCACACAAATTCACAGAAGACAGGCCGCCAACCCGCCCTGGGCTGGGAAGACTCCGCTCGGAGCAGCTCAGGAAGCCTGCCCACTCCCTGGCCTCCTGCACACACTGTCTAATGCAAAACCACCATCAGATCATTCCCCTGGGTACCAGCCCCTGACGCTTCTAGTTGGCACCTACCCAACCTCTGCTGGTCACTGGTACCCGCTGCGCTATAGAGAGCCAACTCAGGCCACGGTCATTTCCACCCCAAACTACAGTGTGGCTTTCCCTGTGAACCATCCTGGGTAGGTGGCGAGCCAGCTGTAGACGAGCAGAAGAATCCGGGAGAAAAGTGAAGCAGCACCGTGACCCCAAGGGCTGGGTCACTGCCCCTGTGGCCACTGTGACCATGTCCCTCTGGACCCCATGGCCAGCCACTCCCCATCACAAGGAAGGACAGTCCCGCAGCTCAACACCGAGAGGTGAAGAACACCCTGACCCCACCAGATGCATCTCGGGTCACTTGACTTCCAACCCCAAGGTTTCCAGCACCAAGCCTCTTCCTCCTGCCTCTTCTCTGGCAGCTCCCTTGGCCCTTAGACCAGCCTCCCATAAACACTCACTCCCAGGGAATCCGACTCCTTAGCAAGGCATGGAGGCCTTCCACATCTGAGTGCCCCCTGCTCCAGCCTTCCCTCCTGCCCTGCCAGCACCTTCCCTGCACCCAGACCACCCGTGCTCCACCTTCACGTCCCCCCAACTCCCGCCCCCCTGGCTAGCCCTGTCCCCATCCGGGTCAGCTGCAGAACCCCGAGTCCCACCACCACGCTTCCTTCTCCGCCTCCTTGGAGCTCCTCAACATCTGTCTGCTGGGCACACAGCTCTGCTCACATCCTATCACCCCTGCCGGTTCGTGGCCACCAGGTCACTGGTTCTGTGCACCTCGCAGGGCCTACACCACAGCCAGGTCTGTGTCGTGTCAGCAGAGAAAGGACAACCATGGCGCACCCACAACCCTCTCTCCAGCCCCTCAAGGGGAAATCAGACACAGAAAGGGCTCAGCCCAGGACCTGGACTGCTTCCCTAGGTACCTCTCTTTCCTCTGTCATAATTTTTAAACTGAGCTTAATTCCAAAAGCAGATTAAGAAGCGCCCGGCAGTGGGCCATGTCTCTGAAGCCAGCAAAATCCAACCACCCCTCCTTGCAGAATTCTAGAGCCATTCCAGAGAAAGGAGAGCAGGGTGCGCTGGGAAGATGATCTGTTCCCTTGCCGTGGGGACACCAGTTCGCCGGTGGGCTCTCTGTCCAGAATGTGGAGGCCTGGGCGTGGAGCTGGAAGCCGCAGCCCTGTGTGGACAGGTGTCGGTCACCCCTCCCCCTTACCTTCTCTCAGTCCAGTGCTCGTCACACGCGTTCAGAATGCTCTGGTTCAGCTCTTTCAAGGTGTCTCTCTCCCTCCTCAGGTGACCTCTCTCCTCTTGCCAGTCCTTCTTTGCACGGGTGAGCGACTGAAACACAGATCAACAATGTCCTCAACACCACGGGCCCCTGGGACTCCGCTGCTGGGAAACTGCTCCCAAAAGGAGAAAAGGGCCACGTGCATGAACATGGCCATTTCGGCCTGAGCTTCACCAGTCGCAAGGACCAACACAGCCAATGACATGGGGATGGCCAAGTGTACCGGCCAGTCGCGCAGCCCTGCCCACGGGTGGCCACTGAGCACTGAAAACACAGCCAGCCTGAGCTGAGAGGCGCCATCCGTGCAAAATGTACAACAGGCTCTGAGGACTGCACAGCCATTTTTATAAAGAATGTCAAGTATGTCATTACGAAGCAGCCCAGAGTATGTGGCTCAGGTGGTGGAGCGGCCCCCCGGCACCAGGAGTACACAAAAGAGAGGCCTGGTCAAGGAACACGCCCAGGATGAGGGGTCGATCCCCAGTAGGGGGCGTGCAGGAGGCAGCCCATCAGAGGTTCTCTCTCGTCATTGAAGCTCCCATGGCTCTCTCCCTCTCCCTTCCTCCCTCTGACATCAGAAAAAGAAATGCCGGCTGGATAGGAATTCGGGGCTGAGGTTGGTCAACTCCTGACCCAGAATATCATCGGGCTGGAGTGGCAGGAAAGTCCAAGCTTCGGCTTCAAACAGACGGAGTTCAGACCCAACCTCAGAGGATGAGGATGGGCCCCAGCTCACAAAAGCATTGTGAGAATTCAGTGAGATGACCCGGGGAGCACAGGGCAGAGAGCTCAGCCGCGAGGACAGAATGGAAACAGCACTTGGCTGCTTCCATTCACCGCCCCGGCCCTGCAAAAAGCAAAGGTCAGGCCATAACCACTTTAGCACAGTGGAGAGTACATCGGACTGTGAATTAAGGTCCCAGGTTCGAATCCGGTCAAGGACATATGCCCAAGTTTTTGGCAGGAACCCCGCTGGGGTGGTGCAGGAGGCAGCCGAACCAGGATTCTCTGTCCTCATTGATGTTTCTATCTCTCTCTCTCTCTCTCCCTTGTTCTCTCAAATCAAGAAAAATATATTTAAAAAATACAAAAAGCAAAGGTTGGTGAGAGGTCTTTTCTAACACGTTCCCACCAGCCAAGGTGCTTGTCCCCGTTAAATGCCTCTGGCTTCCTCTCGTCCTCTCGGTGACATTCCCACACAGTCTTTGGGCACAGACGCCAATGAGGACCCAGGCGGAGTGGGCTGAGCCCCAGGCTGTCAGCCCCGGGCTCAGGCCCAGTGTCCTGGGGCCCACCAGTCCCAGGCCTCACCTCGTACTGGATGCTCAGCTTGTTCAGCAAAATTTCCTTGGGCAGTTGCTCCGCCTTCAGGTCACGGTACTCGGCCTGGCATATCCGCAGCTTCTGCTGCTCCTTCTCTAGGGAGGCCTGCAGCTCCTGCTTCTGGGTGCGGAGCTCCTCCTGCTCCCCCTGCAGCACCTCAGTCCAGGAAGTGAGCCTGGGGGTGGAGAGCCACACATCCCAGGGCTCAGGAGCACTCCCAGCCTCTGCCCCATGTTCACCACAATCACACCCACATCCTCCCTGGGCCTCAGGTTTCCCCTGTGGAAATGAGGGCTGAGCACAATCAGAGGTTCCCAAACTGTGTCCGTTGGGATTCTAGGCGGCAACCACGGCTGCCACACTCTGGGCTGAAACACAGCACAGACCGGCTCGGACACACTTCAACAGAGCAGCCTGTGAAAATCCTTCTCATGTGAGGCTTTGCATGTCCGCCTCCTTGGAAAAAGGGTTCTTTGACTGAAACACTTTTGAAAAACATGGAATCAGAACATCTTTGCTCTGAAACTCTGCCTTAGCCAAGCTCTTCTCCCCAATTCCAAGTCCCTTTCTGATCCCAACTCCTGAGACAAATAAAATGAGATTCTGGAGCATTATGTAAAGCCACTGACATCATCATCATCATCATCATCATCATCATCATCATCATTATCATCGTCATAATTACCCGACTGCCTTTCCAGGGAAGGGTTCTACCTGAAATCTCAACGACCAGAGGCTCATGGACTCCATGTGAACACAGATGGGCCCTGTGAGGCCCACACGGTCTCTGTGACTTAATTTAAATTAATTGGTTATTCAATATTTCTAAAAATGTTCCGTTTCACATCAACATTCAGCTATCGAGATTCTGGGAGGGTGGGGAGAAAGCATCAAGCAAAAGCCCTGGCAAGGGCGGCTCAGCAGTGACAGCATCAGCCTGTGTCCGGAAGGGTTGCCGGTTGGATTCCCAGTCAAGGGCATGTACCTGGGCTGTGGGATTGCTCCCTGGCATAGAGGGGTGTGTGCTGTAGGCATCCAATAGATCTGTCTCTCACATCCCTGTTTCTCTCTCTTCCCCCTCCCTCCCTCCCTCCCTCCCTCCCTCTCTCCTTCCCTCCCTCCCTTCCTCCCTCCCTCCCTCCCTCTCACTCTCTCAGAAGGACAAAGGAAAAATTATCCTGGGGTGAGGATTAAATAAAAGTAATTTTTAAAAAGCAGATACAAAAGGATGACCTGGCAGCCCAGGCCTACCTCCCAGCTGACTGCCTGCAGAGGGTGTGTGTTCTCCACGAGGCCTGCCCTGCCGCTGACCCTCCCTCACCACCTGCTGGACCTGCCTGGCCCCCGCAGGAACCTGACTTTGTAGCCCCAAACATATGAAAACAAGGCTGTGTGAAGGAAGGCTTCACGTGGTCAGGCCTCTGGGCTGAGACAAGATCCGGATTTGAATCCTGACTGGGCCACTACACTCAGGACGGACCTGAACAAGTTATTTAATCTCTCTGAGCCTCTTTCCTCATCTGTTTGAAAAGAAGGACAATAACGCAGTCAATTCTCAGGATTTGCGGTATAATGTCCTATGGAGCCCCCGCAGGCACTGAGCAGTGTACACTGCAAGTGTCCCCACCAGTTCCTGTGAGTTTCTGGCCATATTTCCGTCAACCCATCAAGACATAAAGATGCTTTGGGTCATATGCTCACAGCCAACAGCACCAGATCTCGGGCCTGAAGGACCCTCATGTGCCAACTCGGAGATTTTCCCTGAGGCCCAGCGCAGCGTGCACTTGGGGACACGAGACAGCACTGCAGCAC